ATATATATAAATTAAATTTTGGGAAACTTTAACGGTGCTGCCAACTTTGGAAAAAGTCATCCCAATTTACTGTGTTGAATTGGCATTGTACAGAAATGGACAGCCATATTGGTCTAGAAATGTTAAATTATTTTTACTTTTATTTTTTTCCATGTGTACAGGGGTAAAGCACTGTATTAAATATGTAAGGTCATATCTACATGGGTTTGATTACAGAAACTAATAAAGTATTTAAATAATGAACAAAAGAATAAGATAAGACTATAAGAGCAAGAAGCAATTTAAATATGTTCAGGGACCATTTTCATCTCCAGAATTAAGGATTATTTTAATTTACATCATTGCCTTTTCTCTTTTACTTTTCTTTTTAGTTTTATTTTTAGGATTCCCTATTTTTAATGTTCATACAGAGATTTCTTTAACTGAAATACCAAATAGTTTCTTTGGTGTGAAAAACTATAATAGTACACAGGATCCTAATGAGATAATTAATAATGTGAAATAGGAAGTAAAGGGCTAAAGGAGTATGGAAAATGGGAAGGGTGGGGGAAAGGTAATAAGGGAGAGGAAAAAAATATGAGAAACTGAAAAAATGGAAATAAAGTGTTTGTAAATGGGGAGGGGAGGAGGGGTGAAGGGAGGGCAGGGATAAGGGGAAAAAATGAGAATCAAGACCTATTATGTAAAGGTACAGAATCCCAATGATGAATTTAACTGTATTGTATACCTAGATTGTACCAATAAACTCAATTTAAAAAAATCAACAATGAAATAACAGAACTATACCAAGACAGACCAACAAACTTAGTAGACATCTACAGAGTGTTCCACCCCACAAAATCAGAATATACATTCTTTTCAGCTGCACATGGGTTATTCTCCAAAATCTACCACATGGTAGCTCATAGAACATGCTTAATTAAATGCAAAGGAATTGAAGTTATCCCCTGTATATAATCAGACTATAGTGCAATTAAACTGGAGATCAATAGCCTAAGAAAACACAAGAACTTCACAAACACATGGAAATTAAATAACATCCTGCTGAACAACCATTGGGTCACAGAGGAAATTAAAGAAGAAATTAGACAATTTCTACAAATAAATGATAATGCCAATACAATATACAAGAATCTATGGGACACAATGAAAGCAGTTCTACCCTCAGGGAAAATCATAGCAGTAAACACCCATACTAGGAAAACAGA